ACCCCGTACGAATACCGCGTAGAGTACGGAGTACGAGTAGTTCTATCTTGCTACGTACCTGGCATTCCAGATTAAGGGTTCCGGCCATTGAAGACTACTCTGCCCGAGGGGGATGTGTGCGAGATGCTTCTAAAATTTGGCTATGTCTATCATTGACTTGCCATATTCGGCAGTCCCTTACGTGGTCAAGTCGTACAGAGCCGAGCCTATTTTGAGATGGTTACTGGGTGTCGCCCTCTCCTTCTTAACCCCAGTCATCCACGAGGGGGATCATCCGTCAGCAAGCGCGATGCCATTTCCAGCACCCTGCCCATGTTCTCCCCGCCAATCTTTGGTGAATAGGGAGGCTGACGAATGGGCCGCCTTGATCTGCGTTCTTAGGTATGTCGTCTACGGCAACAAGCTACATGGCTCGTAGCTCTCCGTGGCATAGTCGTAGTGTACAAAAATCCAGCCCACAATAGATCAATCCGGTCGGAAAGGATTGTAGACACATAGCGCCTGTGCTAGCATTGTAAAACGGCCGAGTCGCATACAGCCATGATTTCTCAATGTGGAGTCGCAGTTGATACAAAAGGACTGAAGTTTAAGCCTCTCCTTTCAACCTTACAGAGTAACAAGGGACGAAAGCAAGGAGACCCCACGTAAGTCCGAGTCGCACCATGAGAGGTGGAGCGATCACGACTCGGGGCCTATGCTATTGGCGGAGATTCGCTGAAGTTTTACTGGGGATGGAGAATATTATAATTCCGTATATGGTTACGAGGAGCATGGCTCAGGGGGTGGGATGTCGCCGCATGTCTCCTTGAGGCCCAACATCTCCCCAGCCCAAACATGCAGCTGGGAAGAGGTAATGGGTAGTCTTCTGGAAGACAGAAAGGGATGGAATCGAGACATCTCACCTATCCAAACCTTATCGGTGGCTACGAGACCGGGAACAAATCAACGACACTACTCCGTACCCAGGTCTCACGAGCAGCCGAGGGGTAATGGTGAAAGAGCATCGTTGCGTGTGCAACCGGGGGAGGGGTACCGGGCTAACACTAGGGCGAGCATAGCCTTGGAAAAGAAAGTGTACTCGTATGTCGATGCCAGCTGAAGCGGATAAACCGATTGTGGTGCACGCCAATCGAATCAAATTCCATGGAAAAGGATCGGGGAACGTGGACCAGGAGTCTTTGGGGGGGGAGACCTGAGAGCCTGCTTTGGCGAGTCGTCCCCCACATGGGAACCGCAGGCGAGATGAGATCCCTGCAAGACCAAGGAGGCTCGGGTCGGAGGGGCTACATAAAGGGGGCGAGGTTAGTAGTGGGCCTCCAGCAACCAGCGACATTGGGGAAAGCAGCCAAGCCTCTGGCGGCGATGGCTGGAAGTCCATGAAGTCAATGCCAGGACAATCCTGGGCGGGCCAGTCAGGGAGCGGAGGCCATAGAGTACGGAGTACGGAGTTGACCCTGGGACGCGACCGTATCGCATGGAGGAACCATTCGAAGCCAATGCTGCCACTAGCAGCTCCAGGGGGGCGGCCTTCTCTGACGGGCCAACAGGAACGATGGTGCAGCCTCCGAGACGCGGTACGCAAGTCGATCTTGGGGCGGAAAGTCCGCTGTTTGATGTGTTGATTTGTGTTTCTCGGGGCTTGTGAAAGACGGTTTCAAGTTTCCAGGAGTTACAGCTGGTCCGTGGATGGTAGGGTAAATTAGTACGAGTAGTAAATTAGGATCTGGCGCTGTCTCAATTTACATCCTCAAAAGTGTATGTATGGAGTATGGTCTCCTCCACTTGTGATGAGCATGATTACGTTTACGGAGTATTATGTACCCAGCAACTAATCTCAACAATGTGGATCTCTTGGTATTGTACATACTATCACTCATTACTTGTGTCTGTGTCTGTACATATCCTGGGGTGTTTGGAAACTGATTAAGGAACTTGAAGCTGTCTTGCTATTACTACGAAAGAACAAGGGTAGAGAAAGAAAAGTAGGCTGGAGCTGGAGCTGGAGCTGGAAGGGAACGATCGTCAGGCGATTTGCGTGGAACCCACCAGGAGGAAGTGCTGGATTGGGCGATTTACTAGAATGGCCTGCTTTTGACCATGGGCAGATCGAAATACTCTAGTGTATATGCGGAGCAAAAATGACTGGGTCGCGGCAGACGGTCGAAAACGCGATCCTAGCACGACCAGCAGACCGACGCAGTGGGAAACGAGCGAGAACTTACCCAAGGATTGGATGTGCTGCATGCCCTGATAAAACTGCAGGTAATGGTAAACCCTCCTCCTCGAAATAAAAACTAGAAAAGAAAGGAAAAGTGTTGAAATGAGCAGAATACACACATCTTGGAAGGGCATCGTAATGGACCCGTTTTCCCACGCGAGCAAGGGCCACTCAGGGCAACAGGGCAATTTCAGCGTGTCAGACAGGGCACAAGCATAACTCAGCATGAAGCGAGCTGGGAGGTGTGGGGGGGTCCCAATCAATTTGTCTTATTATCTTATGAAATAGAAGAATATCGAGGAGGGTATCTATGAAGGTGGGAATAGAGACTCGCATAGGTCGAGAGGTAGAAAGAAAAAAGGTACATACGTACGGAGTGTGTGGTCGGGTAATCAATACCCAACCACATTCAAGTAATTGCACTCCGTACAGCCATCCTATATCAGTATGAGTATGAGTATAGGGATATGGAAATGGATATGAATATGCATATTATTGAGATTACTGATTACTGAATACTGTAACTGAACACGAACTGAACCGGTGTACGAGTCTTGGTTTCAAACCGCGTCCTTGCAGAGCCCTCTCCTTACAAGGATTGGATACGGTAACTCCATACCCTTCGTACCCTCCGTAAATACTGAATACTCCCGTAACTCTCAGCCTCCACCCGGAAACCCCGTCATGACGGTACCGCACAGCTTCTCCTTCTGTCTCAGCTCGGTCTTCCTCTCGCTCCTCTTCTTCTCTTCTTTTCTTTCCCACACCCGCCTGGAGAGAGAACTTCAATTTCCTCCTCCTTGTACTCCCCTCCCCTCCTCCCCCCCTTCTCTTCGTCGATACCCTTTTCTTCTTCCCTTTTCTCCCTCTTCCCCCCCTGCCAATTTGTGGAGAGCCCGGAGTTTGTCTGCCTGACTGAGAATCGAGCACCCGTCTCAATTCCCTCAGTCTGCACCAACTCCTGTCAAGTCGAATCCCCTCCTCGACATTGACGATCACTCCCAATTCGACTGTTTGTTAGCTCAAACGGCGAACCCTTCGTCCCCTCCGTCCGCCGGTGCCCTCCTGATCCCCGGACCCTCGACGATCAACCTCCCTGATCCAGCTCCTGCCGGTTAGACGAGCGACAGTGTGGGGATAATCATCTCGAATTTCTTTCGGATGATTCGATAACTCTACACATTTTCGGTTCTCGATTATTATAGAGCCTGCTAGTTTGGGTGAGTCAAGTTTGGGCCAAAAAAAATTGTCTTGCTGTGTGGGTTGCCCTGGGTGGAATGTCGAACGATCCGAGAACCATATATAGTGGAAACTCCGATGGACAACTGTGCGAGGTGTCATACTGGATACCGGCCGTTCGGACGATATGAATCCTCGGCGTCAAAATGCAAAATTGGTGAAAGGGAGTCAATTGTGTGACGGAAACACCGGGTGGAGATCGTCGTCCATGCTCAGCCCTAATCTTCGAGAATCGTCGGCCACTGAGAACAATATCAACCTCTTCAATCAATCCACAAGATAAAATAGGAGTTGGAAATGGCAGGACAGGGTCCACGCGAGAGGATATGTCGTCGACTTGCTTCAGGGCACACCTTGAAGGGAACGGAGCGATATTCAGTTGCAAAGCAGCATGGAATGTGTCCTCCAAGTCTGGTTGCCATATCCTTCCAGGGACAGGCTTGTTCTTGAATGGAATTGCCCTATCTACTCCTAGGGGTCTGAATTGAACGAAGGGGTGGTGAAAATATCCAGTTTGTGACATACCGGGCATGGACGACCATCGACGATCAACCACCGGGGCAACACCATACCTTCTGCGGGACAATTATTGTGGCTTTCATTATGATGATCATACATGCTGACGCTGTTCTGCTCCAGGTTTTTGGTTTTTACCCAGTGACTTTAGTGTCAATTCCGCTCCTTGTGTGTGGATGTCCTCAAGTCGTTGACCGACCAACACCCATTCAACTCGGCCTTTATTAAATCAGCCTGGGGGTTCATTCCGAACACGTTAACTCGTGAAGTGTACGTTGTGATTTTTGTTCCTGTTGCACGTTTTCCCCCCTCCCCTGACGATCGTGGTGGCCCCCTACATAGGGTTGTGCTGTTCCTTTCATCCTCCACATTCCGCAGACGCACTGGCCCCAGGGGTGAAGAAGTTTAGTCGTTCTTCATCTCTAGGACTGGTATCCTACAGAATCCTAATTCAACGGATCATTCCTGCGTTCTTGCCTAGCCTAGATGCCAGTCATGCCGTCACGGTAAGGGTTGCATTGTGCCCTCTGCCCGAAGGCTCGTCTAACTGGGTCAGTATTCTCCGAAGGAGGTAACCCGCCTTGTCTGGCTTGGATATCAAATGCCTTTACTTGCTCGTGGTCTTCCTTTCTCATCCTCACACTCTCTCTGACACACCCACTCACTTCGTTTCTCGTCGTTGCTGCTACTACTTTAATCCTAATTGTTTAATCGTCGACGCCGTCGCCCGCTAATACGTTAATTACTTCCAACAGCTTTCGTCCTCGAAAACTTCCTCCCGGTCACCGGCCTGTCTTTCCAGCTTCCAGACTATCGTCTCTTCGCTGGTCCACTCCTTAATCTTTCCAACTATTCTCCAATCATTCATTTGACTCGCTTAATCTCGACGACTGTCACTCTCTCCTTTCCGTCGTTACCTGTCACCATTCGGTCTTCAGGTTCACCCTTCCGGCTTTCGCAAATTTAATCAATTTCAACCGCTCTCTCTCTCTTGCAATCCACGGTTAACTCGAATAATTTGAACATCATGGCTTTCTCCCGTCCTCGTTCCAGCTTCCAGCCATGTGAGACCTTCTTTGTGGAGGATGACTATCACCGTGCTCGCGCGGACAGACAGGCGCAACAGGAGCACGACAAGCTCGTTGCTCGTGAGCGTCAATATGCCATCGCGGATCAACTGTCCCGTCTTACTAGCGAGGAGCTTCGTGACGATGTCCTGAAGCACATGCTAGAAATGGACGTGAGTATTTCGCCCCCTTCCAATTATGTATTAGCATGACGGCAGACTAATTTTGTTCTTAACAGAGTCAAACCCTCCCCGATGTGGAATCCATCGATATTCAAACCGAAATTCAGTGGTTCATGCGTCCGTACCTCCTTGACTTCCTGATCGAGGCCCACACTGCTTTCCAGCTCATGCCGTCGACCTTGTTCTTAGCCATCAACCTCTTGGATCGTTATTGTTCCAAGCGTGTGGTTTACAAGCGTCACTACCAGTTGGTTGGCTGTGCGGCTCTCCTCATCGCCGCGAAGTACAATGACAAGAAGGACCGTGTCCCCACTGTCAAGGAACTGAAGTCAATGTGCTGCTCTCTCTACGATGATGATATGTTCATCCAGATGGAATGGCACGTTCTGCAAACTTTGGGTTGGACCATCGGTCACCCGACCGTTGATAGTTTCCTTCAGGTCGCTGTCCTGGATGAGGTCTACGAACCCCGAAGTGGAGCACATGGCTCTCTATATCCTAGAGATTGCTCTATTCCACCGCGATTTCGTCTCTAAGCCCTCCTCGGAACTCGCCCGGGCTGCTTTGGCTTTGGCACGCTGCATCCTCAACCGTCCGCAACCTCGTCACACCGACTGGGCTGCCCAGTACGACTCGATGACTCTTGTTGGTCTTTCCCAGCAGCTTCACCAGCCGTCGTCGGTTGTTGCTCGCAAGTACGCCTCGGCCCACTACTCGCGCGTTTCCAAGGTCCTGGAACATTTCCTGAACCGCCAGGCTTCGTTGGCCAGCTACGCCCGATGCACTCCCCCGGTGGAGACTCCCGTGGAGTCCAAGCCGTATAATGGAGAGATCGGACTTGCCACCCCTCAGAAGTCCCAGCAGTTGACTGCCATCGCGCATGGATACATGACTCCTCCGGTTACCCCGGAAAATGGAGGCTTTGTCCCGGCACAGGTGGGCAACCAGGACCTCAACCAAGTCGTTCCAGCTGTGAATGTCTGCTCGCCATCACCTGCACCTGAAGCTGAGATGCAGTACATGTCTACTGAAGCCTACCAGCAACAAGAAGCCCTGTATATCGCTCAGCAGCAGCAAATGCAGCAGTTCCCTCCGCGGCCACAGATGGTCATCGACCCCACATACGCGGGTGCGATGTAATGAAGACACCGGGTCTCTCGAAAAGTAGCGACAAACCCCAAAAGTGTTTCGGCGTCTTGCACATATTCTTCGTGCGCCTCTTTATCTCGCCCACATAGAACTCATTCGACGGAGCATCTGCTTTTGCGTTGGTTCTCGACTCCGCTAATACTACCCCTAATCCTAAGCCGCTGGCTTCTTCGGCTTTCGACCTGGTTCTTCTCTATCTTGACTCGACTCCATTCCACCCTTCACTTCGACATCATACCGCTTTGCATTCGGCTTCGGTCCTCAGAACCGGAGTCGAGACCAGCCATTTTTTTCTTCTTGTTCTAAAAATTGCATACCCCCTTTTCTCTCTTTGTCGGCCCAATCCCCTGGGTCGTCATATGCATTTGTTCTCATTTTCCACATAGCATTGCAAGAGCGAGCCTGATTTTGATTTCTATTTGTGATTGTCATCTGCATTGTTCTCATTTACCCCAACACACATCTTCGATTCGCATTTCCTGTCGTCGGGTTACTCTTCGGAGCCCATACGCCACCTTTTTTTACTGCTGCGCGCCCGTCGGCGCTGCGCATTTGCATCCACCCACACCCAACTCCTCACAATCTTTTAACAACAAACCCCTGCCTCGCCCCTGTCACATCACCATCCATCAGCAGAAGAAAAAGCCTTTAATGTGTCTAGCCTGCATCCCACCCTATCAAGGGCTCTGCACTATCGCCTCAGTACCCTCGGACCTATATACAAGCGTTGCGGATGGAAAAGGCTGATGGAAACGGCACCACACAAAAAAAGCAAAAAAAGAGCGAAAACCATGCAAAAACAAAGTTGCGGTCTCCCGGGGATTCATACCGAGACCTGAGATTGATATTATCCCTCCCCTACCCATTGTTTGTGTACCTAGCCGATCAGCCCGTTTCTTGTCCGCCTTTTCACCAGGCGAGTCAGTGGACTTGTGCTGTGATATTTACTGTGTGGATCCGATACTGCCACACAGCCCACGAATGATATCCTGTTCTGTGGAACTTATTTTCCCGAAAACGTAAACCACGTAGCTCGTGTAGACGAGACGGGTTTTCTATGGTCTTCTCTTGTTATACTTGGATAGAATAATTCTGAGGTCCCTTGCTATTACCTAGCCATCGCGTAAAATTATTGATGCTTAGGTCGAAGATTTTTGTTTTAGTTCAAGGATTAGAAGCAATCGAGACTGGCCAACTTGAATCAGTAGTAGTTACTGCCCAGGTGGTAAACCTCCTACTAGTAGGTACCTCTAGTAAGTAGGTTTGATGAATTTCCAAGGTTTATGATAGCAGTTGCAAATGTATTCCAAGGTTTCAACTTGAAGCTCCAAGGTATTTTCTCGTCGTGGGTGTAGCAAATCCTCATCCCGATATTATATATCATAGCTAGGTAGTACAGCGAATCCACCTAGTAGGCACCAGAAATTCGAATCATTCCAAGGTTGGAACGCACCCTATATTCCCAGGTACGTGACGATAGATACAGGACTAAAATTTAAGATTGTTTATCGTTCGGCATTCCGGTTGACGTCTAATGATACCAGTAGTAATTCCAAGCTTTGCCAAGCTCAGTCATTGGAACCGATACGACGGGAAGTAGGAATGTTGTCCACGTACTAATATGGATAGGACACACGTATAAATATTACCACAAAGATCAGTTTAAACTAGGCCCTAATAGATTCTAGTATTCATTCCATTTGCAAGCGACACTGGAAAATGATGCTCCGTGTATGTAGATGCTTCATTTTACAGTAGAAAGTAATTAGATAGTTCGCGGGTTGTCACGGTGACAGTCTCCACGTCTCGGTTGCGAATATTCCTGTGAATACCCCGTCAAACTTCCCATTAAGTAACACCATCGGGACACTAGTGAGTTTGTAGCAATCATGAGGCCCCAAACCCCAAAATTACGCTATTTTTTCACCGAGTCCACACAGATAGGCATACTATTTAGCTTGCCGCTAGGGACCCCAAATGAAGGTGTAGCTTCTGCTAATCTCGATCCTGCGAATGCTTGCAACGGGACTGCAAATTTGATCCTCCCGCGTATCGCCATATTTGCAATTTCAATTACTCCCAGATTTATCACTTTCATTATAATCCGTACGCATTGTTTACTTTTCCTTTCAGCAAGTATATCCAACGTTGATGTGGATCTGTCTCAACCATGGATCAACTTCCAACCCGCAATAGCAACCAATCATCAGACCGCTCATCCAGGAACCAAAGTCCGAACTAGAAAGAATCCGTGGATCATCTGACCTCCGTCCAGAGCCCGACGAACTTATAAACAAACACCGGGGCATACACCGATAGAAGCAAAAATAGGAGAGAGCTTGAAAGTACCGTAGAGAAAATATTGAATGTTAAGTTAAATTCAAGTGATTAATCCAATTTGGATCAAAGTTAGACATATTCCAGAATATAAATATCGCTCATTTGCAGAATTTCAAACCCCGATTAACCCACGCTATGCATCGCAACCTCAAGAGAGGTAAAAAAAATTATAAAGGACAGATAGGGGAGTCTCTGGCAGTAGGAGAAAACCCGAGCGCGTACCCCGCAGAATCACGAATCTCTGCAAGGCATATGCGCAAAAAAGGAATATGACACGTGTAAGCCTTTCCGAGGTCGAGCAGACCGACTCGATGAAAGAGAGATAAGAAGTTGGGCGGAGGGTTAGGGATGACAGGGAAGATCGAGAGATTGGGGTGAGAAAGTCACCACGAGAAAAAAGGTGAGAGTGGAGAGTGGAGAGGTCCAAGGAGTGAGAAAGTTGAGGGGATGTGGTCGAAGACGAGAAGGGAAAGAGAAGATAGCCCAGAAAAAGAAAGGAAAAGACACAGAGATAACACCGAATAGCCCAGAACTCCGCAGAATAATGATACAAGGGTGCACAGCAGAAGCTAGGGGGAGCAGAGGGAGTGGGTCCTCCCTACTGCTTTCCCCAGCCAAAAAATCCGGGGCAGAACTTCCAGCCAAAGAGTGTGGCAAAAGGCAAAAAAAGAGTACATAGCAAGCAGTTGAGTTGGCAATGGCAAATGCCTCCCCTCCCACCCCTTTCAACCCCCCAAAAGGGACCACAGGGCCCAGGCCGTAATCGATGGGATCTGAGGGTCAGGGGTGATCGGTGATCGCGGTTGAAGCGGTGACGAAAGGACCCATCCCTTCTTAGCCTCGAATTGGTAACGACCCAATTTAAGACCAAGAAGCGAGAAAAGGGGGGCAGAGAAACAGAGACACGGAGAAGTCTCGGGAACATTTTGTTCGAGACAATCAATCGCCGCCTCACTTTTCGTTTTCGCGGGTTGTCGCTTTTTTTTGATCGTTTGGCTCAGCCGCGCGGATAAAAATAGCTGGGGATGGGAAACAGGTGACAATGCCAAAATTTGCCTTTCTCGTACTCTTTTTGCCGGATGTTTGTACCCCGGGTAGAAGCAGGCCTACTTCCAGCGTTGTTTGTCCCAGTCCGATGGCCGGGTCTCGTCGTAGATTTGGCCACCTTTGTTGTGTACGACGACCGTAGGTTTGCGAACGGGATTGGCGGCTGGGGGCGCATCTGCATTAGCCGGGCTGAATCTGGAGATCGGGAACAGGGGGGTGCCCTCCGCCAAAAGCGAATGGGGAGGAATCAGGGTGTGTTCAGTGCTGGATCGGCATACCTCGGGCTTCCGTTGCGATGACTTGGTCACCACTACTGCCTCTGCTGGCAAGAGTAGAATTTGAGTCGTTGTTGACTTTGTGCGGCATGATTATGGAAAGGGAGAAAGAAAGGAAGAAGGCGCGCGGGAAAGATGATGACGCTTGAGACCGAGAAGCAGAGCTGAAGCTAAGCTGTAGTATGGGCTGATCGGTCTCGAAGGGCAAACAGTGTTGAACTGCGCGCAACGAGATCTATAAATCTGACGTTGAAAGAAGTATAAGACAAGGTAGAAAGAAAGGCGGGTGGTGTGATGGATTAGAGATTATATAGAGTGATTTGGCAGCGAAGAAAGATGAGAAGCAGCCAGCTTTTGTATACCCCAGGCCATTCCCTGATCTACGACTCTGGGGAACCGTATCGTCGCCAGGGAGCTTCGACTTCCACGGGAATGGATCGCCCCCTGACGCATCCTGTGCCTGGTATTACGGCGTCTGGCCTGAATGATTGGCCTTAACTCCCAGCCGAAAGCAGGGCAGCCAGTCAGCGCGTCGCGGGCCATACGCGGTGGACTCGTCGTACGCGGTGGACCCAATAATGATGAGTCAGCCATTCCTCTCTCCAAGAATAGTCAAGAGGCAGGCTGAATGGTGAGTGTTGACTGGCAGGAGCTAAATGGCGCCAGGGCTCAGCAGGGAGACGAGGATTCCTCAATCTCACCGCTGAGGGAACGAGCCGTGCAGGGGGATGCTCTCGGTTGCGCGGCAAAATGACGGTGATGTCAATGAACCAGGGGCATCGCCGTGATGTCGGTGAAGCTTCCCTTTCCCCCTGGTCCACTCTGGTCCAGATTCCCCTGGCCGAATCATTGAGATCCATCCTGGTCCATCTTTGGGTTGATCATTTGCGGTTATAGCGTGGCCTCGCCAATCGTTGCTTTCGTGGGCCCTGGTCGATCACTTGTTCCGCCTGTGAACACTTGTATTGAACTCCTGCAGTATACTCATCCGCCCCGAAAGAAGTATAGTTGATCATGCATTCAGACTGTACTCTGTACTCCGTAATGTCTGGCGAGATGCACCACTGCGTCACTCCAGCCTCCAGACCGATTCATCAGCGGAGCCATTATGCCATTACTTGGGCACGAAAGACATCACGGGGAGGAGATAGGTCATTTTGCTTTCCCCGGCAACCGCAAGCCCCCCAACAGGAATGACAATGAGGCTGCGAGACGTGTAACAGTGTATCGAGACTTTAGAAAACAAATCGGACAAACTTCTATAGATTCCAGACCCGCTTCAACGTACTTGGCCACCGCCCTCCCGCTTCATCCGTTCCTCCCATCCAT